GCCCCATCCCTGGAAGTGTCCAAGGCCAGGCTGTACAGGGCTTGGAACAACCTGGGCTAGTGGAAGGTGTCCCTGCCCATGGCAGGGGGTGGAACTGGATGAGCTTTACAGTCTCTTCCAACCCAAACCATTCTGGGATGATTCTATGGTTTAAGGGCCACTTCTTGACAGCACAGGCCATGATTTTTACTTCTGGCCAAGCCACCTCGTGTTTCAGTCCTGGCAAGGGGATGGATTGCCCTGTTCCATCTCTCAGTTCTTCACTTTGGTTCAGGCTCTTGTGCTTCACTGGGCAGCAGTGGTGGTGTGGGGACATAGCCTGGGATTGTGTTGACTCTGGCAGCTCTTTTTAATAAGATTTTCTTGCTGTTGGGCTGTTTGCTGGTTCACAGCTCACTCAGGCCAAGTTTCCAGCATTCATCTCCCTGTGAAGGCTCCAAGCCCTTTCTGCTGTGAGTGACAGCAGGGAGAACGGGGTGGCTGTGGGACTGACAGGGTGTTTATCCACGGGCTGAGTGAGCTGCAGCTCTGTCTGTGCCTGTGACAGCTGGGCTGTGACAGCCAGAGCTCTGAACCTGGAGCAGGACAGTCCACAGAGCACCTCTGCTCCTCTCAGAGAATCCCAGGATATGCTGAGCTGGGAGGAACCCCCAAGGATCATGGAGTCCAACCCTCAGCCCTGCACAGGCCCAGCCCCAAGAGTCACCCCCTGTGCCCCAGAGGATCAGCCAAACCCTCCCTGAGCTCTGGCAGCCTTGGGGCTGTGCCCACTGCCCTGGGGAGCCTGGGCAGTGCCCAACCAGCCTCTGGGGGAAGAACCTTTGGCTGAGATCCAACCTGAGCCTGCCCTGACACAGCTCCAGCCATTCCCTGGGTCCTGTCCCTGGTCCCCCCAGAGCAGAGCTCAGTCCCTGCCCCTCCTCTGCCCCTGCCCAGCAAGTTGGAACTGCACTGAGGTCTCCTTGTGCTCCAGAGTATCCCTGTGGAAGCCTGCTCCCTGGCCCTTCTTTTCCATGTGTTTTAGCCTTACAGGAAGGTTGTTTTGTAGGGAAACAAGTGCCATTCCTGTGGGCAGCCTGATGTCTCATCAACTTCCCAAATCCCCATGTGGCTCTTGCCATCCCTGACAGATGAGGGAGGGGAAAAGCTGTCAGCATTCCTGGCTGTCCTCCTGCCCCTGGAGCTTTGCTTGCTGTGAACTTTAACTCTTCAGTCATGTAATTCATGAACTTTAGTACTTCATTTAACAGCTCCCCAGGGAAACTTTTGCTAATCCTTCCTGCTGCCAGGCAGCCTTTTCCTGAGAGCCCTGCCAGTGTTTTCCCTCAGCTCTGGTTCCTTGGTCCTGGCTCCAGCCCCTGATGTATCACTGTTTTCCTAATGCTTGTGCCTTTCATTTGCTAAAAGATCCTGGAGCCTTTAGATGGATGAGGCTGTAAATCATGGCAAGGCCAAGGGTTCCCTCTTGTCTGATCACTGGGAGGTTAAGCAGGAAAGAAATTTAGTCAAAATTGGGGTATTCTGGGTGTCATTTTTCTTCTCAGAGTAAAAGCTTCTGGGGGAACTTTGTTTTTTCAGCCGTGGCAAATCAACAATAGAGCCATGAGGCTGAAAGTGCTAAATTAAGTTAATTTAGGGAATCATACAGAATGTGTTTGGGTTGGAAGGGACCACCTTGTTCCACCCCCTGCCATGGACAGGGACACCTTCCACCAGCCCAGGTTACTCCAAACCCTGTCCAACCTGGCCTTGGACACTTCCAGAGATCCAGGGGCAGCCACAGCTTCTCTGGGCAACCTGTGCCAAGGCCCCACCACCCTCACAGGGAACAATTTCTTCCCAGTACTCAACCTAAATTTCCCCTCTTAGAGTTTGAACCCGTTCTCCTTGTCCAGTCACTGCAGTTCCTGATGCAGAGTCCCTTCCTGGCTGCCTTGGAGCCCCTTCAGCTCCTGGAAGGTGCTGTGAGGTCACCACACAACCTTCCCTCCCCCAGGCTGAACAGCCCCAACTTTCTCAGCCTTGGCATGGAGTTTAGGTACCTTTTTTTATTTTTCTCCCCTCTGCAATATTAATTTGCAGGATATTTGATGTAACAAAATAGAAACCAGGGAGATACTGGGCACTTGGACATCTTGGAGAGAGCTCTTCAAAGAGGAGGAGAAGTGGCAGCAGCACATCCTGTTGGTCACACTTGGATGAGTTTGGGAAGCAAATCTGTAGGAAGCCTCTTAGAACACTTGGAAGGTGATTTATCCAAGTGGCAGCAGCACCTCTGCCTTGGCAGGGGGTGCTGAGCCTCTTTTTGGGACTGTGCCCTGTGTCAGATGCTCTGGACCCCTCCGAACTGGGTGCTCTGTGCCCACAGGGGCTGTGCTGCTCTGCCTGGATGGCAGGAAAAGGGAAGAGATTCCTCCTTCCCTTCACCTCTATCTGAGGTTCAACTGCTTTTATTCAAATCAAACCCAACCCCCCCTCTCCAGCTCTGCTGAGTCCTGATTCCAGGGAATCCGGGTGTATCCATAGGTTTCTCATCTGTAGGTTCTCTTCTTTGGGAATACACACCAGGGGATGACTCTTCATTTTTCTGGCAGTGAAAAAAGGGGCCTGAAAAGCTGGCTCTTGTCACTGCTTGCTTGATTTGTTATGGAAAGGCAGGAATTTGCCTTGGATTTACTACGGGGCTCTCTGCTAAATCACCACAACTGGAGAAGTTTGCTCTGTGCAAAGTTAACTTTTGTTCTCTTCGCTCCAACCCTAAATAACAGATCTGAAAGGTTTATTAAGCAAATAAATACAAATCCCTGGGCTGGGAATTCCCGTTTCCCACACAAGGAGTATCTGAAGCCCATCACTTGCCAAAGGGAACGAGTCAGGGATTGCAGCTCAGGGAAAAACACAGGATTGTTTTGTTTACAGGCTTTGACATCAGGGTGTGGGGAGGGAAAATTATGATCATCTCTGGGAGGGGAAAAATGATTAGTGAACTGTATTTCTGCTCTGCCAGAATGGGATTTTAGGTGCCTTTTTCCGACCCTGCAGTGACAGGGAGGTAGAAATGCAAATGCTTTAAATGCAGAAAGACTCCTTCCATATCTGGAGAGTGTCTTGGGTGGGATGTCTCATTTGGAATCAAATCAATTTGCTGCATTTTAAATGTTATGATGTGCTCCCTAATGTAGGGTTAGTTCTGGGAGAATTGGCCTGGCATGAGATTACAGGGCACATGTCCATGTTTGAATCCTTCTGAGCATTTTGAGTGGCTCCCAAATCTCAGAATCATGGAATGGTTGGGGTTGGAAGGGACCTTAAAGCTCATCCAGTCCCACCCCCTGCCATGGGCAGGGACACCTTCCACTAGCCCAGGGTGCTCAGTCTAAGGCAGAGCCTTTCCTTGGGCCTGGTTCTGGCTGAAATGATGACTTGTGGCAGGAGAAACTCTTTATTTAACACTTAATAGATAAAATCTTCATCTTCCATCTCCTTCCTTCCTTCCTTATGCTTGAGGCTTTCCCAGCAATATTAATATTTTACTGTTGAAGAGATAAATGAAGATCAAGGCTCAAGAAATGAGCTTGTAAACGCACCAAATGACAGGTAATTATTAGATGTAGCCTTTGAGGGGAGTTTGGATGTGTTATAAAACCCAAGGAATTCCCTCCTGGAAGCTCAGCAAACTGAGTGTGAGGAAGCAGAAGATGGACACAGCTTTCTCCTTCAGGAAGGACCATGTTGTGGTTGTTGGAAAAGATCTTCCTGCACAACATCTCTGAGCCTGCGAGCCCAGTTTTATCCAAAATGAGTAAGGAAGGCAATAATCTCTGTCCCTAAATATTTTACTGTCCTGCTTCCTTCTCCAGTGCTTATCAGGAACTGTTTTGTCCTTTAACCTCTGGGTCTGTGTGTGGGGGGTTTATTACTACTTCTGATTTTTTTTCGGAGGCACCTTTTATTTTCTCAGGTACAAAATAAGCCTGTTTACATCCAGGAGCAGCCAAATTCCTTTCCCTGCTTGGGAAGAACAGTCTGGCAAGTCAGGAGCACTGGTTTCCTTAGTGATGCTGACAGTTGGTGGGCAGACTCAAAAACTGGAAGCATTTCTATGAACTTCTTGATGCCTTTGGCACAAAAGAGCCTTGGCTGTGAAATACCCTCAGTTTTGTGCAGACAAAATGTCCTCTGCTTGGTTTTGTTTGTTGTTTATCCATAACTCCCATAATAAAAGCCATAAAGAGCTGACAGATTACAAGTTGCATGAAATATCCAAGTCATTATTTACACTTTGATGCTTCTTTGTGCAGACATGAGACAATAAATACCCAGAAAGTCTCAGAAGTGACACTCAGCGGGGGATTCACCACTTTTTACGTGCCAGGGTTTGCTTCTTCTGTTTGGAGCCTGATATTCCTTGCCTTTGGTTTTTAGTGAGCTCCAAGGGCTCAGCTGGAAGCCAGACTTCCATGGGATGCTGCTGCAGTTGGCTGTGGGGCAGGGAACAGCCTTTCCTTGCAGGGTCTTTGCTGGTGGCTGAATTTTGGTGATGCCTGTGGGTGCTGCCTCAGGGGGCTTGTGGAGAGCACAAATTCTGCTCTGTGAACTCCTGGGCTGTCACTGGGGTGGTGTGGGTTCCTCTCCCAAATATGTGTCACTCCTTGTGGAGATAAGGGGTGGTTGTGCAGCCATGGAGCACTGGGGCTTAAATCCTGGAGTCCCTCTCACTCTTGGATAGGATTTAACGCCCTGTTTGTTAAAACATCCTTGAGAATGTCATTGCTGTGTTAGTAGAAAAAAATCCAGTGTGTTGTGGGATTTTTCTTTCAGATTTACTGTCCTAAATTACCAAAGGGCCAGAGTCTGAAGGGAAAAGGGATAAAATGCAGGACTACACCAAAGCAGGAATTGCTGTGTGGGCAGTTGTCACTGGTTTAACTGAACTGTGCCACAGTGTTTCAAGTGTGATGCTGGAATGTAGATGGTTGTAATTCACTGTCTTTGAACAGAGAGAACATGAGCTCCAGGAAGGAGATGTTGGAAGGAGAGAGAACCCTGGGAGGAAGGAGGAGGAGGAGGAGAAGAGGGAGATGATAACGCCGGCCCTGAGGGACGCGCTCACAAAACAAGGTGAGGCTGCACAGCCCTGGGGGGTTTGGGGGTGGACTTTGACCAGAGCCGTGGAAGGGGGTGTTCTTTGTGTGACAGAGGCTGCTCTGGACCCTCAGTCATGGCAGGACAAAGACCACAGAACACAGGATAGTTGGGGTTGGAAGGGATCTCTGGAGATCATCCAGTCCAACCCCTTGCCCAGGCAGGGTCACCTGGAGCAGGTGACACAGGCACACAGCCAGGTGGGTTTGGAATGTCTCCAGAGAGGGAGACTCCACAGCCTCCCTGGGCAGCTGTTCCAGTGCTCTGCCACCTCATGTGGAAGTTCTTCCTCATGTTGAGGTGGAACTTGTGGTTTGGTTTATGGACATCACTCCTTGTCCTGTCACTGGGCACCACTGAGGAGAGTTTGGCACCATCCTCTTGGCTCCTGCCATGGAGATATTTGTATGGATTGATGAGATCCCTGCTCAACCTTCTGTTCTCTAGACAAGGCCCAGCTCCCTCAGTCTCTGCTCATCAGAGGGAGGCTCCAGACCCCACATCACCTCTGTGGCCTCCTGGCCCTGCTCCAGGAGCTGCCTGTCCCTGCTGTGCTGAGGAGCCCGAGCTGGGCCCAGCCCTGCAGATGTGCCTCCCCAGGGCTGGGCAGAGGGGCAGGATCCCTCCCTGACCTGCTCCAATGCTCTTCCCGATGCTCCCCAGGATCCCATTGTCCCTCCTGGCCCCAGGACACACTGCTGGCTCATGGCCAACTTGGAGTTCCCAGGGTTTAAAGCATCAGCAGGGGAGCGATGCTGATGGTCCCACGTGCCTCCAGCTCCCAGAGTGGAGGTTCCTCAGAGAATATTTCAAGATCAGCTTTACACCTCTGTTTTCCCTTTAGTCCCCTGCTTTTATTTCAGTTTCAAACTCTGATTTTGTTACTGAAACGTATTTCCAAACTAGGAACGAGTTCAAACTAATTTTAAACTAACCATCCACCAGATGATTAGGTCAGTGAGCTCTGGAGAACAGTTGGAAGGAATTTCATGACTTTTTTAAAGCAAAGGACAAGCACGAGAGGAGCCAGACTGAGCCCTGGAAAGGTGATGGAGCTTCCCCTTGCTGCTCAGGTGGAGACTGAAGGCAGTTTAGTCTAATTTCTTTTACCTCTTAGGAGAGAGTGTGCTCAGTTCTGTTGCTAAATCAACATTATGGAATTGTTAAGGTTGGAAAAGGTCTTTCAGATCGTCAAGTCCAACCACCCACCCAGTGCCACCACCACGTTCACCACTAACCCACGTCCTCAAGTGCCACATCCACGTGGTTTTGAACACTTCCAGGGCTGGTGACTCCACCACTGCCCTGGGCATCTCTCCTGGTGCTTCTGAGCAGGCCCTTGTGGTCCCTGAGAGCCGAGCTCTGAAGTTCTCCCCATGCCCCGTGTGATTGTTACTTTGGGACACAGGACCCCGGGTGGGCTCTGGTACCTGTGCTACTGACCCCTGAGAGGTTTTTGGTACCCTGCCCTGCCTTTTTTGGGGTGCAGGGCTCTGTGCTGGCCCTGGGTGGTATTTGTAGGGTTGTAGGGGTGTTTGTCTCACCCAGTCACTGTTGGTTTGCTTTTGGGGCGTGAATGAAACTTTGCTGTTTTAAGAAGTGGCCATTTGGCAAATGGAAGGTCACCTTCCTCCCAGAGTTTTTTTGACACAAAGGAAGGCTCCCCAGGGAGTTGTGGTTTCCTCGTGGTGCTCCAGGGACAGGAATTCATTATCCTGACTAGTGGGTCCATATTCCTCCCTTCCTTTGGCATTCCGGGTAATGCCAGTATTGGATCAACCAGTAGGAGCTGCTGTTTCAAATCTGCATTTTCAAAGGCTTAAAACTATTGTGTCTGTCTCCTTGTAGTTCCAGCTGCCCCTCCCAGCCCTCCCCTCCTCTGCTGCTCACCCAATTCTGTAATGGTCACTCAGCAGTGAAGAAGAAAAGTTGTTTCTTTTTCGTGTCATGTAACGTTTTTCCTGCCAATAACAAACCAAGAGAGGTTTTTGTGGCTATAAAAATAAACCAACTCCCTCCTTCCCTCAGCATCATTCCCTCCACAGATAACAAGTGCAGTGGAGTCAAAAGAGAATCTGATTTATTGAGCAGCAACTGATTGCTTTGGGGGTGGAATCACAGAGTGGTTTGGGTTGGAAGGGACATTAAAGATCCCCCAGTTCCACCCTCTGCCATGGGCAGGGACACCTTCCACCAGCCCAGATTGCTCCAACCTGGCCTTGGACACTCCCAGGGATGGGGCAGCTTCTCTGGGCAACCTGTGCCAGGGCCTCCCCACCCTCCTTCCCAGCATCCCATCTAACCCTGCCCTCTGAGTTTGAAGCCATTCCCCCTTGTCCTGGCACTACAAGCTCTTGTAAAAAGTCCTTTTCGAGATTATCCCTGAGGGCACAATTAGCCCGAAGAGAAGGAAAACAAGTATTAGTGGTTCAGAGAAAGCTGTTCTTTGACACTGCACTTGCATAACAGAGTTTGCCTTTGAGCAGCATCTCTTCAGGCTGTTGTAACCTCTTGATTCACCTTCAAACAAATTTCCCTTGCTGTAGATAAAGTGAATATTGCTTAAGCAATGGTTTTATTTTAGCCCTGGCATTGAATCTGGGCTAAATTTAGCTGGGTTGGGTTGTGTTGTCGAGGTGTGTAAGCCCTTGTAGTTGCCTGCTTGCAGATAGCTTGATAAAAGGTGCTCAGTAATAGTTGCTTTTTAAAGTCACAGCTTGTGCTGTGAGCCAGCCCTGATTCCATCCCATCAGTGCTCAGCCTTGCATAAAACACAGACACAGCCCAGGCTCTTTAGTGCCTCCAGGAAAAGTGGAGTGGGAGAGACACTGGCAGTGTCTGTGTGTGAGATTTGCAGTGGTGCTCCTGATGCTTTAGTCATTCCATGTGTTTAGGTAGAGGGAAAGAAATGAAATAAACCGAAAATAGAAGCAAACTCTTCATGGGAACGTTTTCTGTGGTTATTAGGATTTACAGCCCAATATTAACGTTTGCTTTCTGTAGTTGCTCGTAGATTCTTGAAATGATCCCTACTGGGATGGAAGTTTTTGTTTGACCTGGGTGCCAGGAGGATTTTGGACATGGTGAAGTGCGTGGGAGCCTTCCTGGAGCTGCTGATTTTTCAGGAAGTGCATCTTGATCCTTGTTTAGCTTTAGAGGGAGTCTCAAGCTGCTGTTTTAATAGGAAAGATGACTGTAAAAAAACAAACAGTGTGTTTTTTTTTTTTCTGTAAAACAAACAAAAACCCCAAACCAAACCACTCTTCTGTGTGTCAGGGCAGGCTCAGGTTGGATCTCAGGCAAAGGTTCTTCCCCCAGAGGCTGGTTGGGCACTGCCCAGGCTCCCCAGGGCAGTGGGCACAGCCCCAAGGCTGCCAGAGCTCAGGGAGGGTTTGGCTGATCCTCTGGGGCACAGGGGGTGACTCTTGGGGCTGGGCCTGTGCAGGGCTGAGGGTTGGACTCCAGGATCCTTGGGGGTCCCTCCCAGCTCAGCACATCCCATGAGTCAGTGTGACCCCTGTTGGGGTCGTTACCATCGTTAGTCACAACCCCACCTTGATTTGCCAAATGTTTTACTGGTGCTGATGATCCCATTGGAAGCCAAACACGTTTTCCTGCTGAGCACAGGAGTGCAGCCTGGCAGCTGGGAGAGTTGTTGTTTCACTGCACTGACTTCCTGAAGGATTTGGAGCTCAGTGCCAGCCCCTTCCAGCAGCCCTGTCACCTCAGAGGGTGTGTTTGGCAGAGCTGCAGGTCCTACCTGAGGTGCTTCTCTTAAATGTCCAGGAGTGACACGGAAAAAACCAACTCAACGCCCTGAAGAGCTGAATGTTTGCTCAGGAGATTCCAAGGGCAATGGCTTCAAACTGGAAAAGTAGTTTTAGATGAGATATTGGGAAGGAATTGTTCCCTGCCAGGGTGGTGAGGCCCTGGCACAGGTTGCCCAGAGAAGCTGTGGCTGCCCCTGGATCCCTGGAAGTGTCCAAGGCCAGGTTGGACAGGGCTTGGAGCAACCTGGGCTGGTGGAAGGTGTCCCTGCCCATGGCTGGGGGTGGGACTGGGTGAGCTTTAAGGTCCCTCCAACACAAACCATTGTGGAATTCTCTGATTCCTTACTCTGTTCCTCCCATGTATTTCTGGATGTGGGGATGTGTTACTGATGCCAAAGACTGACCCCCCCGACATTGGATAAATTATTCTGTTGTGTCTCTGCTCCCACAGGGACAGTTTTGCTGCAGTCCTCTTGAATTGTTCTATCTTTCCTGATCTACAATTTAGCCCCAGGGTGTCCAGGATACCTCTGTTTTACTTGTATCCAAAGGCAAGGGGTGTATCAGGACACAGCTCATGTCCAAAATAGCCTGGGCTGCTTCAGCTGCCACTTTTTGTTGTGCTTTGACTTCGTAGTCGAGCTAAAAATGTACTTTAGTCTGTGTTTCTCGGTGTATTTGGGCAAGCAAGAGGCTGATTTCAGACAAATACTGAAAGCTGGGCTTTTCAAGTGCTCACCAACTTGGAGTTGAGGTTTTTAAAAGCATTTGGTGGCTTTTGCTGTCCCTCCCTGGGCTGAGCTTTCCGGTGCCTGCAGCTCCCAGCTCTCGTGACCAGCTCAGCTTGGCTCCCTGTGCTGAGCTTTTGCAGTGTCCAGACTTTGGGGAAAGAGATTTTTGCAGGCTGTGTGCTCCAGTGTTTGGGATTTGGGAGGTTTTGGGTGCAGCTGTTGTACTCCAGGTGGCACCAGCAGCCCACAGCTGGGCCAGGGATTAGCGAGGCTGGTGCAGTCCCCAAAATGTGCCAATCAAATATTGGCCGTGGGGAGATGAAAAATTAGTTTGCTAATTAACACTTTACTCTTAGTGAGCAGAATAAATACAGTGACCAAAGCCAGGCGTAGAGAAGATCAATTCCTCAGGAAATGTCTGTGTAAATAAGGAGTGAACACCAGTTAAAAGGGAAGAGTCCAGGCAGCAGAAGGT